GTGTGGGTGTGGGTGGGTGTGGGTGTGGGTGTGGGTGTGGGTGTGGGTGTGGGTGTGGGTGTGGGTGTGGGTGTGGGTGTGGGGATGGGTGTGGGTGTGGGTGCGCTTCCTCAATTATGATAACCACACCCACACCCACCCACACCCACACCCTAGTTGTAGTAACAAGTTTTGTTTGTTCATTTTCGTTAGTCAGATATGGTTTAACGTCCTACACTCGAGTGACTAGCCCAAAAAAAGACAGTGGCTCCTGGACCCCAGGGGACGCCTTCTCAGCACCACAAGCAGCACTAGGTCCCCTGGTAGTACGTAAATACTCCCCAGTAGGGTGGCTTAGTGAAAGAGTGATAAATGTCTTTATTATGAATTAATCGATATTACTCTCAAAAGAAATTGAAATATTTATTCGTCAATTGAGTAAATTCCATAATATTAATTCCAAATATGCAATGAACAATTTCTTTCTACTAAAAATAAAAGCAATTAGTTACAAGCAACTATTGTTTATATAGAAAACTACTTATTTTTTGTGTGTCAATGAACATAAATTTGACTGAGGAGACATGAAAGCTGCAGTGATATCCAAGAAATAAAAATTTCCATCGTATAATAGATTACCAAATGCTGAATTCAGATTTATTATCAAACATATTGGTTCATCATATTCTTGCACACAACTATCAGAAAAGACGAGAATTCTAAATAAATGAGAGAAATCAATAACTTTCAAACAACAAATAAAGGGTGTGAGGTGTGTAATGAAGGCATTTCCTTCAACTAAACTGACGCCTATAGCTTTCCCCCTTCACACATCCACATCCTTTACTGCTGTCGCTTTGCTCGAGCAACAGAACTCCTTCAAATAGCAAACAAAAAGAGTCTTTAGAAGAATAGGTAAAAAGATATATGCAGAAAAGATTACAACGAATTCAACAGTCAGATCTAGTTCATTAACCTTACTACAATAATACATTCTGCTGGGATACATTGCAAAAGTCAAAAAAATGATCATTTGGGACATTTTATTAAAATGAAACGAGTTAGATATTGACGTTATTCCCTATGATAATATAAATCAAAATTTAAATGAATTATTGTTAGTTTGATAAAGAAACATACTAACCATTCATTATAAAATTGCAATTTTTAATTGTATAATCAGTCTATTATACAATAATATATGATTCTGAAACAAATATTCAAATGACATCTTAACTTGATAAGACTACTTCTCAATAGATCTTGAAATCTTTCATTTATTAAATGACAAATCAATTCTTTCTTAAGAAAACTGTTTGATTGTTTTCTCAAATTGAGAATGGTTAAAAATTTACACTAGAACTTGATCATTTCAAGAGAAAAAAAATGTATTGAAACTAGCTTCTGTTTCTTGACTTACAAGCATGAACACTCATTAATCAGTCAATACGCTAAAGAATTCTTATTGTTAAATGGACGTGACTTTCTTCTCACTTGCAATATATCACGAAACAAATATTATTTTATGTTAGGCATAGCGCATACATTTGTTAATTCTTTCGTTTAAAACTGTATGAAATAACATTGTTTTACAAGTTTATTTTGATTTCTTATCTGTTCACTTTTCTTTGTATGAAATCGAAATTGATAATACTTATTTTCATGGAAATTTATTAAACTCAAATTTTGTACTCAATTCTTGAGCATTCTTAAAATTTCAAAGATTCGTTTTCAACATCCATATCCATACCCAAAATAGAGAGGTATCAATGTTTGAGAGGTTTAGTTCTAGATAATACTACTTGAGGGTATACCAACAAACAAATGACTAAACTTCTATGACAGTATTTCGTTTTCACAAATCAAATATTAAATATTAGAATTTGAATACTAAGGTATTTAATCAAAGTTTGATGTCAATACAAGCAAAATAAAGAATGTTCAACGTGGTATATTGTCTTTCATGAATGATTCGAGTTTTTTAGTAACTACACGTAAGAAATCCATTTGTAACTGTCAATGTTTTCACAATTTTCAATGACGTATACATTTAAGAGGGAAAAAAAAGGCTATACTTTATATAAACTATATAAATAGTCATTTCTATATTCATTTTTCACGGGATTTATTATAAAAAAATGTTTGCTATGAAATTTTTATTAAATTTTATTTTCTGCAACTTCATTTTTTCTGAACCTCAAATCAACTTTCATTACACACATGTAGAAGTTGAAAATGAAATTAATAATGGATTACCACATAATTGTTTACGTATTACTTTAATTGGTAATGTTGGTATGAAGCGTGAATTTAAAAATTATTGTATGAATAAATTGTCATGGAAACTTCATGTTAAAAACAATAATACTTTTCGAAAGTTTACCTTTGGCGAACTAGCTAAACAAAATATTACTAGTCAACAATTATATCTTTGGTCAGCACCGATTGATCTAGCTGAGCATTATCAATTCTATTTGAATCATTTATTAACATCAAATGATACATCTTTGGAAACACAAACTTACTATAATTGTACATTTCCAAGATTTGGATCTATGTGCCAATATGAACTTTATTTGAATCCTAGAAATTACTCATATATTGATGAAGTGGTTCAAGACTTCATTGCAGATAATACATATGCTCGAGAGATCTCGACTTGTTATATGCATTTATTATGTAATCGTGGTCCTATATCAGCATGTTTAGATTGGAGAGAAATTTGTGATGGACAAGTGGATTGTATCAATAGTAATATTGACGAAGAAAATTGTTGGCAACTTGAAATAAATGAATGTAATGATAATGAATATCAGTGTACTAACGGACAATGTATACCAATGTCGTTTTTTAAAGATGAGAGCAGTACTCCAGATTGTCTTGATGGTTCTGACGAATATGACAGTTATACGACAGAGTATTGTAAGTATAATCCATCAGTAACTTTTTGTAGTACAGACAGGAAGTGGTTTACTTATCTGTCAAGCTATCAAAATCGGCATCGTACAAAAGAATTGTTGACAGCGATGTATTCAATCGAAGATAATTCTATATCTAAAAAATGTTTATCAGCTGTAAAATCCATTTTTCGAATACATATGCCATTTGAAAGCAGTTTTCCAGCACTTTGTGAAGCATCATTATGTATTGAAATCATTCGGAACACATGCACAAATATATTTTATTTTCCAAATACTCCGCTTTTTTTCGGTGATATTTATTTTGCATATAGGAAAAATGACTTTTTATCTTTTTCCAGTAGCAGCTTGCCAATACCGTATATATGTTATAATAGTTCTCATTATGAGGTATATTCTGCACATTACACAAGACTTTTATTCGAAAACAGAACATGTATCCATCCGAACGTGTCAAAAGGTTTTAACGAAATTCAATATGATTTTGAAAGCATTTATTTACGAAAATGGTATCCAATCATCAATGAACTGAAGATTCGCTACATAAATTTTATTTATACTTCTGAAATTTGTAATAAATCAAACATGTATCAATGTATTAATTCGATGAAATGTATCTCAATAAATCGTCTTATGAACAATATATTTGATTGTCCACAAAAAGACGATGAAGATATCAAGCAAGTTAATAACATCAACTCAACTAAACTCCTAAAACACCTTTTCAAATGTAAAATTTCTAACAAATATATTCATTCCTTGTTTGTTAAAGATGGAATTTGTCATTGTCAAGTTTATAATCCAGATTGGTGTGAAGATGAAGATTTTCATATCTATAGAACAAGAATGAATATTTCATTTCAATATATTTGTGATCGATATACCAATATGTCTCCAATAATCATTGAAGGTAAAAATGAAACAGACGAGACAGAATGTGAACAATGGTCATGCAATAACATTTATACTCGTTGTGATGGTCTTTGGTCTTGTTCGAATGGTGCCGATGAAACGGACTGTAATTCATATTCAGCATTAAATTGTTCAACAGATGAACACATATGTGTCTCGCCTTATACAAATCAACTTATGTGTATATCTATTGACAAAGCTAATGATGGCAATATTGATTGTCTTGGTGCTACTGACGAGCCTAAATTATGCCAAAGGATAGTAGACATTAATGTTATACCACGTTTTTACTGTACTGATGATAACAATTTCTTATGTCTTTCTACAAACAGATTGTGTGATAAGAGAAACGACTGTCCATTGAACGATGATGAACGATTTTGCTCAACGAATAGCATGAATCTTATAGAATCTGATAGTCCATGTTTTCAGAGCAATTTTTCTATTATTTCTGATATCGAGCGTCTTTTATGTCACTCAACGCATCTCAGATTAAAAGAACCAATGAAATATTTTTCATTAGATACAACTAAAAACTCTTTTCCATGGTCAATGAAGACTTTGCCAACAGATACATTAACAGAAACAAGTGGTTTTGAAATGTTTGGCATACACAATCTGAGATGTCATCATGGTATTCCTATGTTTGTTTGGTCGGAAATAGAAAAAAACATCAAATCAAATGCATGCCTTTGTCCATCAGATTTTTATGGTGATAGTTGCGAATATCAAAGCCAACAAGTAAACATCATCATTAGATTTCAAGCATTATCCGATTCTTGGTCAACATTATTTGCAATAATTATTTCACTTATTGACGATAGTAACGAAAGAATAATTCAGTCATTTGAACAATTTACATATTTATCAATGAGAGATTGTAAAATTAAATTTAATGCTTATTTACTGTACTTGACTCAACCAAAAAATAAAACAAAAAATTATGCGATACATATTGATATCTATGAAAAGATTTCATTGACTTATCGAGGAAGTTTATTATATCCTATAAAATTTCCATTTTTACCTATGCATCGTCTGGCATATGTTATTACTATCCCAGAAAAGAATGAACAATTTCAAAGTTGTTCAAATCTTCATTGTATTCATGGTAAATGTATTATGTATTCAAATAACCCACAAAATTCTATGTTTTGTCAATGCAATCAAGGATGGTCTGGACAAAACTGTACAATACCATATATTTGCACATGTTCGTCTGATTCAATATGTATTGGTGTATCTGCTTATAATCGATCCGTCTGTGTATGTCCTATTAATAAATTTGGTTATCGATGCCTACTTACAGATAGTATTTGTGAAACGAATAAAACTTTAACGTGTCAAAATAGTGGCCAATGTATTTCTGCTGATGTACAGATACGATCAAAGCAAAAATTTATATGCATATGCCAGAGAGGTTATGGTGGTGATCGATGTGAACTAATCAATAACAAAATAATTCTATCATTTAGAGATGATATAGTTTTATCTTCATCAATATTTATTCATTTTATAGAAGTTATTCAGAATGATATTCCAAAACGAACAACTACTCTTCGAACAATACCTCCTATACAAAAATCAATTACAATATTTTGGTCCAAACCATTTAATCTTATTTTCATTGAAATTTACAATAAAATTTATTATTTAGCTCATACACAAAACACCTACCAACAAACAGCAAATATTAGTATAATGATCAATCAATTTGATCGTTGTCAAAATATAAGTGAATTATTTAATGAAAGTTTCGTTCAAAGACATCTTCTTCGTCGTATCAAACATTATCATGTACCATGCCAAAAAAATTTAAATCTTTCTTGTTTTTATGATGATATTCATCTATGTTTATGTTATAATCTTCAAAAACAACGTTTAGCTAATTGTTTTGAATTTAATCATAATATGACTTATAATTGTTTAGATCAAAATTCTTGTAAAGGTGAAAGCCAATGTTTTCAAGACGATGATATATGTCCAACAAGATCAGTATGTATATGTTCACCATGTTTTTATGGAACACAATGTCAATTTAGTGTAAATGGATTTGGTCTATCACTTGATGGTATTTTAGGTTATCATATTCAACCACATATTGATCTTCTTAATCAACCAAGTATTATACTATTTAGTTTATCAGTAGTAATAATCAGCATAGTTGTAGGACTTATCAATGGAATTTTGTCATTGATAACATTTCAAAATAAACAAGTATGCGAAGTTGGTTGTGGTTTCTATTTAATAGGTTCATCAATTACAACTTTACTAACAACAATTATATTTGCATTAAAATTTTGGATACTTGTTCTTGCTCAAATGACAGTTATATCCAATAGAGTATTTTTAAAAATTCAATGTGTGTCTTTTGATTTTCTTTTACGAGTTTGTCTTAATATGGATCAATGGTTAAATGCATGTATAGCTATAGAAAGAACTATTACTGTATTAAAAGGTATTAATTTTAATAAGAAAAAAAGTAAAACCAATGCTAAAATAGTTATCATCATTCTTTCAATTTCCATTGTTTCTACAAATATTTATGATTTGTTTCATCGACATTTAATTGATGAAGAAAATGAAGATGATAAACGAACTTGGTGTATTGCGACTTATCCATCTCGTTTACAAACATACAATTCTTTTATCAATACATTTCATTTTTTCGCTCCATTTATAATTAATATAGTGTCGGCTATTATCCTGATAGTAAAAAAAACTCGTAAAAAAGCAAATGCTCAAAATAATGCAAATTATAAAAAACTTTTAAAAGCACAAGCTCGAGAACACAAAAATCTATTTATTGCCCCTATTATATTGGTTATTCTTGCGTTACCACGTGTAATTATTTCATATGTGTCAAGATGTATGAAATCAGCAGATGACTCATGGTTATTTCTTATAGGATATTTTATTTCATTCATTCCACCAATGCTTACATTTGTTGTATTCGTATTACCATCAAAATTTTATAAAGAACAACTTCGACAAACTCTCATCGCTTACCAAGCTAGGATACAACGACATTTTTAAAGTAATAAATAAAAATTAATTAAAATTGATTTTTTTATTGAATTTTATTCGTTGATGTCTAATACTGTAGCAATGATAAATCTCGAAAGTGTGACAGAATTGGTATGAATATTATATTCTTTTCTTTTAACTTTTGTTGTTTTATTCGCTTCCTTGTCTTGCGATGTATGCCATTAATTTTAGTAAAACTGATAAAGAAATAATCCTTTTCTTTTGTTATTCAGGCGTATTTTGATCTGACAATCCTGATATTCACACATGTCTCCTCAGTGGCGTATCCAAGGGGGAGGCAAATGGGCAATTGTCCATTTCATTTTAAGATTTGCCCATTGAAATTTTACTTTTTTTTGAATTGTTTATTTCTTTGTTGCTGCATACATCGATAAAGATCTCGATATAAATCCAGATGAAATATGAAAATTATATACACAAATACATCGTTGTCGTATTGATTGAGGTATTTGAATTTGAAATATAAATCTTATAAATAGATACATTCAAAATAGACTAAACACACATAACTCAATCTTAAGATCTCTCCATTCTCAAAAATCGATCTCAGGCCAGGAACATTCTAATGCCATGACATTTGGAAAATCTGTTTTAGCTGTAATGAAGAAGCTATGGTAAAATTTTCAGTTCTATTCCATGACGTTTGGCAGAGATATTCACGAAACAAAGTTCAGAAATAGCTGATTCGGCATTCTAAATTTCTCGGCCTCGGGTCTGCATATATATTTAATTTTTTTGATGAAAAGAGAATGCCAAGTTGTAGGGCACCAAAGACTTTTTTTTTTGAATTTTTATTTCCTGAAAGGAGAGAAGGAATTACAATTCTGATGAGTCAAAAAACTCTCTAAAAAAGAGAGTTCAATTTACAAAAGTGATTGTACATATAACAGAAAAAAGCATAACTAAAAAGAAGGACTCTTTGGTGCCGCACGTTTTGACATGCTTTTTTTGAAAAAGAAATTAAATGTATACAGGATGGTCCAAAAGTAATGGAGCAATCTTCGATTGTGAATAACTTTTGATAGGAATAAGCTAGAGAACTGCGATTTTCATCGTTTAAAAGAGAAAAAAACTGTATCGAATCTTAAATGCCGGATTTTTATAACAGAATTTCTCATGGTTTCCGGACAAGCTCCTTTTGAAAAACTTAGACTTTTCATATAGGTCTAGAAGGTGGATTTTTCGTCAAAATATCAGGAAAAACTCGGCTTTTCGCCAAGAATCTGCCGAGAACGCGTAGTAAAACGTTAAGAACTAATAATTCGCTAAATCTTTTTGGCGTTTACCTACACAGATTATTGAACCGTAGTTAACGATTCTGATGCACTACGGAAAATTCAAATTCTAAAACTTTCACATTACACAATAATTTTCTATTACAAAAATTGTCTGGAGACTCCGAGTGAATATTGTCATAAAAATCTAGTATTCCATATTCGATGCAGTTTTTTTCTCTTTTAAAAGACAAAAACCGCAGCTCTCTAGCTGGTTTCTATCAAAAGTTATTTGCAATTAAAGACTGCTTCGCTACTTTTGGACCATACTGTATAGTTACGCTGAGCGGAGGACTTTGGTTTTGAGCATTTGATAAATCATGAACTGAGAAAATGACGAGAAACATCAAAAATTTCACTAAAAACGATGTACGAAATAAAAAGCATTATCTCTTTTAAAAGGGCAGACTTCCAGCTAATTTCTCACACACTTATGTCAACTTTCATGTTTTTAACGAAAATTGACTTTTTTCGGTGGAGCGTGCTTAAGATCTGATTTTTATGCATATTTCATTAGAAGAACCTCATTTCATTTTTTTTGTGTTTTTTTCCGTTGTCAGTACTTGGTTGGTCAAAAAACTTTTGGTCCATCATTTTGTTCCTAGCATAAGAGAAGTTTGCCCATTGGTCTAAAAATCCTGGATACGCCACTGTGTCTCCTATGTTAACTCTTGTACAACTATATTGAATTATATTTTATATATATATATTTCAACGAGCAATGACATAATATATTTGAATCATAATCGATGGATACGATTATCTAACGATATAAATCATTTTCATGCTTTTGATATTTAAAATTCATAAGGATGAGATAAATTAAATTACTGGCTATTGTTAAGACTTTTTCTCAAGTATTCTTCTGTAGCATTTAATATTTACTCAAAACAGTAAATCAGAAATCTACATAGCCCAATCTTTGATCAGATGAATTAACTTTAAAAATTTCATTCTTCCTGTAAGATGTATAAAATATTTTTGTGTAGCTTATTATGAATTGTTACATTTCTTAAGTAACTTTGCCATACAAAGAAACTCTTTCTGTGTAAATAAATAAAGAACTTCAAGTTCTACAAATTGTAATCGTTTATATAATCAGACACCATTTCTAAACAAATAACAAATTCTGAGTAAATTATATGTGAAATCTGCATATAATTCTCTACTTTACAGTGCGCCAGTATGAAACGTTTCCGGAAAGTCTAACTTTAGAAAAAAATCCTATTAAGAATTATCAATTTAATCTATGCCTCTCATTATTATGCTAAGTATAGTAATGTACGTCTTCCTTCTGAAGATGAGTTAAATTGTGATATGTTTTATTCAATACGACTGTATAGACATGAACGAAAAACAGAAATTCTTTCAATGTTAATATCGAATTATTTTATTTTTATTTGACGAAGTAAGAATTAAAAAATTTTAACAAATGAATTATGGTCAACACAAAAATTTGTTTCATATTAAAAACAATGCATATGAAGTTTAAGAATTTGAGACTCTTCATTCCTTTCAATATGGATTCCGAGTTCCAGGGAAGAAAACCCTGATAAATAATTGTTCAGCTGTATACTCAGATAGTGATGAAATGACTTTTTTCGAATGGAATATAATTAATTTAATTTTTTCAACTATCGTTAATTGTTTCTGAATAATGTTAAAATATCAAACCATCGATAAGACACTGCTTGCATTTCTTTTTTCTTTTGAAATTTATATTTTGAATTTCAATGAGATAATTGTGAATCAAATTTGAATACTTGTAGAAAAGATCGTAATGCACATAGATCGAGAGTTATATCCACTCTACAATAATCTAAAGACATAAATGAAAGACCAACGTGCAGAAAAGAGATGATTGTCTGTGCATTGAAGACATTTTTTTTAAATAAAGGTTGTGAGTCTGATAAGGTTATGATTGAATAGTAAAACAATCTTCATTCATAAATTTGTTGTATTTGTTCTTGCATTAGAACATGCATTAAAATCATTAAATAGAAACTTTGATCAAGATAATTTATTAAATAATAAAAATAGAAAGTTTATTGAGCTAAATAGCACGACTGCATGTACAATCCAAATAGATATGGTAAGAAGAAAATCTAATAGTCTGTTAACATTTGTTATAACAAGATTTGACTTTTCTTTATTATTTTAAAGCAAAATAAGCTGAATAAAAATGCTAAGAATTATCAAATATAAGTTTAATATTATAGGTTCAGCTAATAATTCATTGAAACTTCACAGAAAAAGACTGAATAGTTATAAAAGTTAACATTTATTGATGATCAAATCGTACAGATAACATATATCACAAAAAAAAAATGTTGTAAACATAGATTTTTAAAATATTTATTTTTAAATTAATGAATGAAACATATTAATTTTATCTATTTTCTAGAAAAATCTTCAGGAAACGACGCTAATTAATTTTTTTCTCTACAACAAAGTACTACATCGTATGAGAAACTATCTTTGAAAGTTAGTTTTTTTTTTCTTTGATTTTTCAAATTTAACTATAATAAATATTGCCCATCGAAATTGTTTCTAGTCATAATAGATCTCAAATAGTTTCAAGTATATGGTTTTATTTTTAACTGAAAGAAAAAATATCAAAATTTATTTGTATTCAATCAAAATGAATTCTTTAATATTTATTTTATCGATTCATTTCTCGATAAATATTAAAAGGTTTTAGTTAGCTATCATCAGTTCCATCTTGATTATAGAGTTATTGATAAGAGAATTTACTCAAATAACTATATAGAAGATTTAGTGATAATTTTTACTTTTGATTCAGTCAATTGTTATTCACTTCAAGTCTCATGTTGAATTCTATGAAATATTTTGTTTTTTTTTGTAATTTTACAAAGTATTTATTCAGATAAAAATAAAATTCTAGTGATTGGTATGAATTATGCAATCACATCTTTTTCTTCTTTTTATCTCAAAAATAAGTTTTCTAATAATACTACGCTGAACCTAACTTTTACAAAGATATACTATCGACATTCATGTCTTCTGTAAATTTATAAATTGCAACGAGACAAAAATATTGAAAAAATAGAAATTTAAAAGAATCAATATGATACAAATTATTTTCAATGCTATTTCGAATTTTCCTTATTTATATCCTAAATAAAGTATGAAAATAAGTATTGTTATTCATCGATTTCCTACAAAACATATATCATCAATCATAATTGGAATAACAAGATGTTAACAATCTACTTTTCATTTAGAAAATATTTTCCTTGTAATATTTACTAATAATTAAAGTATATGCCAATGACCATCGAATTACTGAGTTCTTTGCTTTTTTTTTTCTTCTTTTCGATGAACAATGACGTAGCAATACCGACAATCGATCATATATGACAGTACCTTGAACACACACTCTTATGAATATAAAAACTGAAAAAAAATTAATATGGAGAAGTCATACTATTGTTTTTGTCGTTTAATAGTGTTAATGAATTTTTTACAAATCATTCATTTATTGCCTTAAAAAACATATATTTATTAATAGTTATTTAAATAAATAATTCTTTATTCTACAACACTCTCCAATATACCAGAGAAAATAATAAAAAAAAAACATTAATTAAATAGTATTAAATAATAACTGAAATAAATATTATACTGTTATTCAAATGTTTTCTTAGATAGATATCGAAATATGTAAAAAATTGAGAGATATAGATCATCATT